TCATAAAACTCAACAATAAAGTCTTGCAGCTTTCCAGCAGAAGAAAACAAAAAGTTGGTTTATTTTGGCTAGTTGATGGCATGAGACCTTGTGGATATGCAACTCGGACATTTGAAATAACATAACCAGTATACAGAAGAGCCAGCTCGCTGGTTGTTGGGCAATCTGATTTTCAAATTGGCTATTGTTTATTTGTTTGATCTGGATTGTCTCTACATCTGACATTTTACTGCACTACACAGTAATGAATCGCACTTTGACAGTTCTTCAGACCAAACTCTTCTGCTGATTTGGTCTTGGTTGGTGGTTAATGACAGGTGTACAATGTACTTGGAAGTGATGTCTTCTTTTTGTCTCCTACCCTATCCTACCCTATGGCAAAAAAAATGTGAAAAATGTTTATCCTCAACTTTTTAGTCCCTGTTCGGATGTAGTCCGAAAACGGGGACTTGTGGTTTGCCCTGTGTGCGTCCGTGATCACCTGTATCTCGAACATGCATGGACCGATTAAGTTCAAACATCACTCATTATATGGGACATATGCACATGCATTTTTTTCATGATCCGATTAACGATAGCCAAATAGCGGCCATTTTATAGCCGAAAATGCATCAAAATCGCACATTTTCACCATTCCGGACCCGGATCTCAGTTATGCATGGACGGATTTTGTTCAAATTTATTACATACATTAAACATATTAGGACCTTGATGCACGTCATTTTTTTTAAAGAATTCAGTTCTGGATTCGTATCCGATATGTCTGGATTGATCAAGTTCAAACTTCACACACACACATGGTACATCATGTCACAAATAGATATGTGCATTTGTTTCATGATCCGCTTAACAATAGCTGAATGATGGCCATTTTAAGGCCGAAAATGCATCAAAATCACGTATTTTCACAATTCCAGAACCGGATCTCAGTCATGCATGGATGGATTTTGTTCAGATTTAGTGCATATATTAAAGATAATATAAGCTTGATGCACACCAATTTTTCTTTGGATCAAGTTCAAAATGGCCGACTGGTGGCCATTTTGTTTTAAAGAATTTATTTTTTGATCCATATCTCAGACATGCCTGGACAGATCAAGACAACACTTCACACACATCATACAATGTGTTGTACATATGCAGGTGCATTTCGGACTTTCAGTGGTCTGAGATTTCGGTCATGATCTGCTTTGATTGTACATGTCACTCGAATATGAACGGAACGGAACGAGGACGTGTCATTGACAATGACTTGTATCTGATCATTTTCAAACTTGGAAAGCCCATCAATCACTATAATTTTTCAAAATGTGGCTTTAAATTTTACAAAAACATTTATTTGACATTGAAATAAATGCACATTTATACTGCTGATCATAACATGCACTCCAAGATCTGTTAAATGGTGTAGTAATCCATGTTATTTTCATTGTGTAGTAAAGCCTTTTCACTACCAGTTCCCTCTTCATCACAAAATTAGGCCTGTTTATATATAGTCTTCACTTCAGAAGATTGGGGCAAAAATATCCAGAATAGTGATGCAGACACATTTTAGTGAGAGTCAGGTGGTGAAAACGATGAATCATTTTTGCTGCCAAATATTGATACTTTTTTATCCAAAACATTGGTTTGTGTTTTTTCCGTTAAATTACCCTTAGATGTACAATTGTGTATTATTCTAGGGGAACATGAGTATTAATTGTTAAGACACTGGCTCAAAATGAGGCCTCATTACTGACACTGTTTCAAAAATGGAAAATTAATATTAACTGAAAATATGTGGGTTGACTTGTGTTCAGTAAATCTGCAACAAACCAACTGGACTGCACATCCAAGACAATTTTGTGATCAATAATAGACAGCATTATAATGCCATAGTTGTCATGAACCTTGTTTGGTTACCAACATAGGCACCACACCTCACCCCAAGTACCCCTAGAAGTTAAAGCTGGAGATTCGTCACCTGTGCACGCGCTGGAATTGAGTCCCAAGCGACGATAACAACGCACACTAAAAACGCAACGGCTCATGGGTAGACGTGTGTTGACACGCTATGGCCATCTGACGCATGCGCAGGTGACAAGAAGCCCACTCATAAATTAAAATACCCAGACTTAATTCATTTTGCAATAAACTGTACTTCCAGGCAATGCAAGGATATTGATCTTAAAAAAGTTGGGGTCACCAGCCTTTTTTTTGAGAAAAGGATGGTAGTATTTTAGTGGAAAGTTGCCATTTTGACACTATTATAACACTTTTACCATTACCTATGGCAGAAATATTATGCAATATATCATAATCTAGCCTGGTGACATAGGCTGAAAAAATCATTATCTTCATGATTGTATATAATGAGCATTGTCATGCGATTTATG